TTTTTCCCTTTCTTATCTTTTTCTCTTTCTTCTTGTTCTTTTCTTTTTATACTTCCGTTTTGTTTTGTTTTCTTCTCTCCTCCCTTTCTCTTTCTTCCTTTTTTCTTTCTTTTTTTATTGGTTTTTATGAGCAAGGGAAAAAAATAATGAAAATCAAAGAATGGAAGATGAGTTGTCACATTATTATTGGATGATGTGGGTGATTTTTTAAAAAAATTTGTTTTGATGTTGTTTGGTTGGCTAAAAAAATAAGTAAATAAATTATAAGAAACGTATTTCCCATTTTGTGTTTGGTTCATTCATAAAAATAAGAAAATAGATGAGATGAGATGAGTTGTCATTATATTATTGAATGATATGACTCACACTTAAGGAAATCGATTTCCTAGCTTTTTTGGAGGAAATGGGTGGAAATGAAATGTTAATGAGATGAGATGAGTTGTCACCATATTATTGGATAATGTGAGTGATTTTTAAAAATGAGATGTGATGGAGATGAGATGAGTAGGATGATGTGACTCATTTCTTGTGTTTGGTTTATTTTTAGGAAAATGATAGGGGCACACCCCCAACCACAACTCCAACCACACCCCCTCTCTCATTTGCTACAGTGCACCGGGCCCCACATGGGATTTTAAAAATTTAAAATCTCATGTGGGCCCATTGCACTGTAGCAAATAAGAGAGGGGGTGTGGTTGGAGTTGTGGTTGGGGGTGTGCCCCTAGTGCCACCCTTATTTTTAGGAGATGATATGAGATGAGTTATGGGATGAAAATAATATTTTATTGGATGTTATAGTGAGTTTTAGGGATGGAAATGGATGAAAATAATATTTTATTGATTTCCATGTACTTTTTTCCTTTTCTTGATTTTTAGGAAACCAACCAAACTGCCTCATATAGACGTTGTAGTGGAGAATTGATTTTGTCTTTTATAATAACCTATTCAAGCTTTTTTTAATAGTAAGAAGGACCAAAATTATGCTAGAGAGCAACCTAGCTCTAAATTTTGTTGTACATGCATTTAGAATGGAATTAAAAAACATGTGCTTCAGAATAATGTAATATCCATTTAAATGTAATGAGAAGCCAATTTTCATCCAACAAGAAAAAAGGAATTAAAAAGAAAACATTGGTGCACAAAATTTTGAAGTTATAATAAAAGTTTCTAGATATGTCTTATATTTAAGTATTTCTTTATGCAAGAAACCTATTCATTTAAATCATATATCACCATTTGATGAATGCCGAAATTTCCATTTTTGCAAGGAATTTTAAGTTTTTTTTAATTTTCAATACCTGTCAAAGTAACACAAAGTTATGTGATAGTAA